GAAAGAGGAACTGACCAGTAGCCTCAGGCACAGTCAACAACTCACTGACCTCTCTCATCCATCTGAGAAAACAGATGGTAGCAAGCGGGAGATTCCTCACACTGAAGAGCGAGAAGAACCAAAGCCATTTCAGGGGCAGATGTGTGTGGAAGAAGTGTCTGTGTATGTCTCCAATGAAAGTGGCCCTGTCCCCGGTTGTCCCCGCGATCTTCTACCTCAGGAGGATGCGTCACTCGGTCAGGGCTTTGAAAGACATTTGCTTCCACATTCTGCCTTTGTGCTTCTTTCATTTTATTGTTCACTAATTAAAAAACAAACAAATTTCCTACACTGAAGTTTGAAAACTACTGGTGAGTAACGGGCCCTGCAGGGAGGAGGAGGCAAAATGAAGATTGGGTGGACCCCAGATCCACAGCCACTGGAGAGAAGGAGCTGGAGAAACAGGTCCCGGGGGGGTCAAGCATCTACAATCTCCTGCAGCTCTTCCCCTTTCTGAACCTCAGGTTCCTTGGCCATGCAGTATGGTTGACTTGAGCGTCAGTTCCCACCCCCACACAGTACAAGAAGCAGCTGGGTTGGGGGATGGGGGTTGTACCTTTGAGGCTCTTCAGGATGGGGTGATGCCTCAGTCCATAAAGTGCATGCTGCACAGGCTTGAGGACACAAGAATCTCTCGCCACACAAAAGAACTCTTTCCCAAAGCTGTCTTCTAGAGTCACACAGGCCAGTCCTGGTCACACATTATACCCCTAGACCAGACCCTGGCAGAGGACTTTAGAGGGATATGGCTGCTTTAGACCAGCATCACTCATCCCCCTACAATGCCAGCCCACTCCACCTTTGTTAGCAGCCCTTTTATCCAAGCCCTGATAAGCCCCCATTTGCACAGCCATCTGTTCCTGCCAAGGCTGGATTGTTAGCTGGTTGCTGTGTATGCAGCGGGAGTGTGCTGCGTCTGCGCCAAGCTCGTGTGTGTGTGTGTGTGTGTGTGTGTGTGTGTGTGTGTGTGTGTGTGTGTGTGTGTATACAGGCTTGTATGCTAGTTACTGCAGACAAGGAGCGAGTCAGCACAGACAATGAAGCTTTTCAGTCCATTGTTCCAAAGCCCGGTGCTGGGGTCCCCACCTGCTTTCCCCCAAACCAGGAAATTCTTAGTGCAAGGCAAAGCCTCCAGATGGGAGGAATTAGCCAAGCGGTGTTAGCGGCTCAAGCAGAAAGTCAGGAGCAACCTCCTTGGCCCCAATTTCCTTTTTTTGCCTTTCAGACTTTTAAGCTTCAGCTTTAGTCCTGGATTTGACTGTTTAACTGAGAGGATGGCTGCCTAGCAGGGCTGCATAGGGCCAGCTTCCCCTGGGGCTGGGCCACAGGAATCACCTTGTCAGAATGCTCCCAGACAGGGATGCCTAGGTGTGGGAGAGGACAGGGAACACAGATGGCGGAAAATTTCAGAGAAAAAAAGAGAGAAGTTGGCTTAATAAAGCAAATGGCTCAGAGCTCCCAGAGAGAGGCTGAGGTTGCTGTGAGCTTGGCTTGTTCAGCCTGGACTCTGTTTCCTCTCCATATACACATGTACACACACACACACACACACACACACACACACACACACACACAGAGAGAGAGAGAGAGAGAGAGAGAGAGAGAGAGAGAGAGAGAGAGAGAGAGAAACAGACAGACACTAAAACAGATCTAGCCTTTAGTGGATAAGGCTGGGCTTCCAAGTCTTTGTCAACTAAGGTCTTACTCTGCTCCGGGGCAGTATCTGATGAAAACTGCATAAATATTAAGCACACCTGGAACAGGCCCAGGCTTGGGTGGCCATAGCCAGACCAAAATTTGGGGTCTAGCCTCAAGAGCAGCCCTGAGCCCTGCCAGAGCTCACAAGGTCTAAAGAGCTGGGACTGGGACCAGCTGAGCTATTGGCTCTAGACCTAGTACCTAGGATAGCACCTGGTGCACATTGGCATTCATTAAACAGTTGAATCGCTGATTGGGTGAATGTGGGACTTACGTAGGAGTAACTGGTTAATGCCCTACCTGACTGTGACACTCCAGGCCCAGAGCACTGGAAGGAACGTGGGCATCAGGGCTCCTCCCTGAAGAAGTGTGCTTCACTAGCCCAGCCTGCAATGGGCCTCCCTCACTCTCCGCCCTCAACCCCTCATAGGGTTTCTGTGACCACAAGCAGTTAAGCAAATGTATGGTTACAGAATTGCATCCTGCCTCCCCACCATGAGATCTGTGCAGTTAGAGTTTTATGAATTCATTAAACGTGCTTGCAAACTTGTAAGGAAACAGCGCTACCCTGCAAGGAGAGCTACAAATTGGCACAGTCCCTGTGAGAGCTCGGTGGTAATTCCACTTGCCTCCTAGGCCAAATGGTTTTCCTGCTTTTCTTGCAGTTCCTCAGCCTGAAAAGGAAGGTTAGGGCCTCTGAGTACCCTATGAGTTCTGAAGAACTGCATCATGTCTTCCTCAGGGACCTGGGGTGACCAGAGTGAAAGGCAGGGAGAGTAGGTTCCCTTCTCAGCATTCAAGGCCACTGGCTGGATCACACATCCAAACAGGCTGTCCCAGGGGCATTTGGACTCTCTGTCTCTCACCTCTTTTCAGCCCTGCTAAGCAAACCAAAGCACACACCCTGTGTTTCCAATGCAAATGAGAAGATTGGCCCTCTGTGTCCCCAAGCCCTCTACAGGCCACCATGGGGTTGGCATAATTGTGCTCATTTGCATCTGTCTGCCTGCCCCCAAAAAACTTCACGATGGACCCCTGAAGTTAAAAATCCCATGTGTGCAGGGTCTTCAGGACCCTGGAGAAGTTCTGTAAGCCTGCAGCAAGGGCTGAAGTTGTCTCCTGGATGGATTTGTACTCGGAGTGAACTGGCTTCATCTCCTCTCAACCTCCTGTCCTCCAAGGAGCATCCCACCCACACAGAGACTTTGTGTCCCACGTTTGTGGTAGAAACCAGGTGAGGAAAGAGTGGACTGTTTGGATGTGGTCTGGCAGCTGTTTCCTGTGTCAGCGAGCATTCTGCTCCTTAACACACATCCAGGACAGTCTGCCTGGAAGGTAAGGTCGTTCAGCCCCAGGTCTGGAGGCTTGGGTCCACGATTTACTGGCTCCATTGCTTTTGGGCAGTGGAGGGACTGTGTCATTGCAGGAAGCATTTGTTGGGGGTGGGGCTGGATTCCGCCATCTCCTCTTCCCGTTCCCTTCCCTCCTTCCTTTTTTTTACACTCCACAAGGTATCTAGCCCAGGCCGGCTACAAACTCCCTATGTAGCTGAGGATGACCTTGAACCTCTTGTCTCACCTCCCAAGTGCTGGAATTACAAATGGGCATCATCACACTCTATTCATGTGGTGCCTGAGACTGATCTCATAGACAGATGGCCTCATGTATGCTTGATAAGCACTCTAAAACTGCTGTATCCCCAGACCCCCATCGTCACATTCAGTGGTATGTCCCTAGTGACCTGACTCTCTCTCGGCGTCCCTACTTTGTAGTGTTCTCATGACCTCCAGGAGCTCCGTGTTGGGAACTAAGCTTCAGGAGGCCTTCCAGATCCAAACTACAGACTCCCCACTGCAGAAATGACAACCTTGGGGGTAGGAAAGAACCAACCTGCCCATATCAACACAGCTGTAACCAGTGAGGACAAGACAGCACCAGGACAGCCCACCCTGCTGCCTGCCAGGGGCTGGTGTGAGAGAACGCACTACACTCCAGGATCCTCTGGGTAGGAGCGGCTTGTGAAAGTCGGAGGAGGCAGATTTGGCCCTGTAGTCCTCTCTCACCATGCCCTTCTCTCCACCTTACTAGTGGCTCATAGTCATGAGCACCAACCTTCCTACCACCAGAAAAACTGCTGAAGAACAGAACTTAGGAGTGGATTTGCTCATTCATATAAATTCTTTTAGCTTCCATAGATGTTCCTAATTTTTCCATCAAAAATGCTAGATGGATACTCCCATTAACCAATAAAGTCTGAAAATGCTCATTTCCTCGCATCTTGACCAACTCTAGGTATTGCTACCTAATTTTCTGTCATATGATAATAAAAAAAAATGTGTTTCAATTTCAGTTGTAATTCCCAAAATACCGTGTCTAAACTTAAGAGTCTTTTACATTTGATTTTTGGCTATTTATATTTCTTCTGTCTGTGGATTGTCTTTTTATAGATTTCACCTACTTTAATCATTAAATTTGTCTTCTTGGAGGAAGAAGTCATCTTGCCGTATATGATTGACACGTTAACTGAGATTTCAGGTGGGGTTCTGTTGGGCCCACAGGTACATTCATGAGAGATGTGGTATATCTCACTCTTACAGAAGCCTGTTCCATATATCTTGATTGCTTTCTTTATATAGATCTCGGCTTTGCTCCCCCAGCCCCCGATCCCTCTGCCTCTCCTCCTCCTCTCTCTCTCTCTCTGGGTTGGTGCTTTGTCCTTTTGGTTCTGTTTTGTTGTTGCTGTTGTTTTGTTTTGCTTTGCTTTTGAGACAAGGTCTCATGTAGCCTAGGCTGGCATTGAACTCACTATGTAACCAAGGATGGCCTTGAACTCCTGATTCTCCTGCCTTCACTGTCCAAGTAGTGGGATGACAGACAGGACTGCATCACTATGCCTAGCTTAGTTTTGACTTTTTGAGACAGTCTTCCTGCATAGCCTGCTCCTACCTTTCACCTGCTGGGATGCAACATGAACCCCTGTGCCTGGCCAGTCTTAGGGTTTTTGACAAGGCTTCTTATTAGGTATTTAGGAATGTGTTGCCTTTATTTATTTATTTTTTTTAATTTCTTTTACGTGCACGTGCGTTTGCCTGTTTGTGTGCAATGCCTGCAGGGGCCAGAAGAGGGCATCTGATTCCCCAAGCTGTCTTGTAGGTTGTTGTTTGGCTCCTTTTTGGGAGGCCTGCCACCCAGCTCCCAAATAAATCACACATGGAGTCTTATTTTTTTTTTTTTGACTATTTAAGCAGTCTTTAATGAAAGCTGTGTAGGACACACCCCTACCCCTGCATCTTCTCAATCGTTTCTTCCTTGTATTTGCCCTTTTCCTTTCCGACTTGTCGAGACCTGGCTTTCCTTTCCAGGATCTTTTTGCGGTCTTTGTCTAGCTTTAGCCTGGTGATAACCACCTTGCTGGGGTGGATGCCCACATGGACGGTTGTGCCGTTAGCCTTTTCTCGCTGCACTTGTTCGATGTAGATGACGTATTTCTTCCTGTACACTTGGACCACTGCCAATCTGCTGGCCTTTGTAGTGTCCTCGGACAACCTGAACTTCATCATCCTTTCGAATGGGCATAGACCGAACATTGTACTTCTGCCTCAGCTCTTTGGAAAGGGGGGAAGACATGATCTTCCTCCGAATGTGAGAAGGTGCATTGAAATGCCGTTTGCGGTTCTTGCTTCGGTCCGAAGTCACAAAGGGATTGAACTTCATTTTGGCGGCTACGATCCAGCGATGGCCGCAAAAGGCGGAGTCTTATTCTTAATTATGAATGACCAGCCTTAGTTTGTTTTGTTTTCTAGCCAGCTTTCCTGATCTTAAATTATCGCATCTAGGCCGGGCGGTGGTGGCGCACGCCTTTAATCCCAGCACTCGGGAGGCAGAGCCAGGCGGATCTCTGTGAGTTCGAGGCCAGGCTGGTCTCCAAAGCGAGTTCCAGGAAAGGCGCAAAGCTACACAGAGAAACCCTGTCTTGAAAAACCAAAAAAAAAAAATTATCGCATCTACCTTTTGACTCTGGGCTTTTCCCATTCTCTTACTTCTGTAAATCTTACTCTATGGCTTGCTGGTTGTGTAGCTGGGTGGCTGGCCCCCATGTCTTCCCCTTCTCTGGCTCCTCCTCCTCCTCCTCCTCCTCCTCCTCCTCCTCCTCCTCCTCCTCCTCCTCCTCCTCGATCCTTTCTCCTTCTATTCATTCTCTCTGCCTGCCAGCCCCGCCTATCATTTCTCCTGCCTTGCTATTGGCCAGTTCTTTATTAGACCATCAGGTGTGTTAGACAGGCACAGTAACACAGCTCCACAGAGTTAAACAAATGCAACATAATAAAAGTAACACACCTGAAAATATTCTACTACAAAGCTGGAGTTATAGGCAGTTGTGAGCCATCAGCTCTGGGAACTGAATATGGGTTCACTGAGTCATCTCTTCAGCCCCATTTGTTGCTTTTAAGAATGAGTTTATTGTTCACTGTTCATTTCCTCATCTAACTGACTTTTGCTAGTGTATAATTAAGCCTCTTGATCTCTCCTCGTTGATGATGGTGATGGAACCCTGGGCCCTGCTCATGAGAGTCAGGCACCTTCCCACCCAACTGCCCAAGCTATAGCTCTTGAGTGTTAAGCTGATCATAGACCTGCTGGCACTGCCAAGCTTTCTTGATTTTTGCCCATTGGTTCCACTGAGCATTCCCAAGGTAGATCATCACCTATCTACTTTGTAGATACCTACGATTGTGCTCAGTAGTATATGCTTGCAGATACTCCTGGTGGTTCTGTCCTTTCATTTCTGGTTTACACGGCATTTTTCTTCCATACTGTGCTAGTTAGTTTTTGTTTTGTTTTGTTTTTTGGTTCTTTTTGTTGTTGATGATGTTTGTTTTGTTTTGTTTTTGACAACTTGATACAAACTGGGCATATCTGGGAAGAAGAACCTCAATTGAGAAAATGCCTTCATCAGATTTCCTATAGGCAAGTCTGTAGGGCATTTTTTAAAATTATTGTTTGATGTGGAAGAGCCTAGTCTACTGTGGGTGGTTCCACCCCTGGGGAGGTAGTCCTGGGGTTTTATAAGAAAGCAGACTAAGCAAGAGTAAGCCGTATTCCTCCATGGTCTCGCCTTCAGTTCCTGCCTTAGCTTCCCCGATAATAGACTGCAAGCTGTAAGCCAAAAAATCCCCTTCCTCCCATTGCTTATGAGATCAAGAAAAACCCTAACTAAGATACATAGTATACAGCTGGCTAGACTCAGCTAGTACTTCCTTGGTGGTGAGCAGTCTATGGCTTTGGACAAATGTATAAAGACGTGTGTACATTGGGGTCACTGTCCAGAGACTGCGGGCCACTGTTCCACTCTTCCTTCTCCTAGGAGCCCTGGCCAGCACAGGTCCTTAAACTGTCTCACAAGGGCTTCTTCTTTCACAGTGTGTCATGCCGCCAGAATCTCCCTGTAGCGACCTTTTTAAGTTGGCTTCTTCCGTCAGCTCATGTATTTAAGGTTTTTTCATATCTCTCCATTGGTTCGTAGCTCATTTGTTTTTGGAGCCACAAGATACTCCATTGCTTGGATGTGCCAGAGTTTATTTAACCATTTATTCACTGGGATCACTTCTTGGTCACCTTCTGTCTTGGCGTTTATGAAGTATCTGTGAGCATTTGTGTGCATATTTTTAGGTAAACACAAGTTCTCATCTCCTCTTGGTAAAAGCAAGGAATACATTGCGATCATGTATGGTAACTGCATGCTCAGTCTTGAAACAGGCTGCCAAACTGTCTTCCTGTTTCACCTTCCCACTAACACTGAGTGACAATCCTGTCACTCCACATCCTCACCAGCATCTGAGGTTGTCATGTTCTAGATTCCAGCCATTTTACTAAATGTGTTGTTTGAAGCTTTTTCAGAAAATATGAAACTGTGCATATATATATATATATATATATATATATGAATATTTTCAAAGGTATTTTTATACTCCAAGGAAATTATGTAGTTCTTGGACTCTAGTAAGAGTGATTTAAGTTGGTAGATTCTTCTAAAATTCAGCACACACTTGCATTTCTAAAATGTCTTTCAGTATGCTACAGAACTAAGTTTGCCAATTCTTAAAAAATAAACCAATCAAAATTTACCTTAGAAGACAATAATATAAAATGATCTGTTTGACAAGTTAAAATTAAGAACAAGACATGCATTCAATTAAAGAAATTTAAAAATTGTGTTGTTTTCTGTTTTCCCCTTAATTGGAAAAAGAAAAAAAATCAAGATCAACACAGAAAGGAGAGTGCTCATGTTCTTAGAAACATCTTGACATAAAGAAAGTAACAAATATGTAAAACTGAAGAAAAAGACAGATTAGAAAGATCCTAAGATTTAGGTGAACCTAGGAAGAAGAGGCAGTTCCATTAAAGATGAGCAAGCTAGTGTGGTAGCTCACACTATAATTGAAGCACTCAGGAGGCAGAGGCCAGAGGTTCAGGGTTCAAGGTCAGCCTGGGCTACATGAGACTATGTCTCAAACCTTTTGTATTCTAGTTTTATTTCTATTGCTTTGATAAATACTCTTGACAGAAAGCAACATAGGAAGAAAATAATTTGGTTGGATTATAGTTCCAAGTTATAGTCCATTGTTTTGAGAATGTCAAAACAGAAACTCAAGCAGCTAGTGATATCACACCCACAGTCAGGAACAAAAAGAATAAACACATGCATGCTTGCTTGCTCTCAGGTAGCTTCTCCTCTCTTATACTGGTCTAGATCCCTTGCCTAGGGAATGGTTCCATCCACAGTGAGCTGGGTCTTCCTACATCAATTACCAATCAAGATAGTGCCTGACAAGCATGCTCACAGACCAACCTGATCTATATTAATTCCTCATTAAGACTATTCACAGGTGATTCTAGATTGTGCTAAGTTCACAGTTAAAACTAACCAGCACACCTCCCCCAAAATAAAAAAAAAATAAGGAGAATAAAAATGAAGTGTAAGTCTCTGTGTACACAGTCAGAGCATGTAGGGGTCAGAAAATAAATCCAGACTCAGGAAATAAAGATTCTTAAACAATGTTCCAGGTTAACATCCTTGTTCCCTGGGTAACCCTTGATGCTCTCTTCTAGTTTATATTCTATTTACATATGTCCTTTGTTTTTATTGCCATTTTCATCACTTCCATGTCATTTTCCTCCTCAGTTTTGGTAGATGTGCACTAGCTAACACACATGTAACTAGATGTGTTTTTATTTAACCATCTTTTTCTTTTGGTTAACAAATTTAGCCTACTCATATATATTGTAGTGGCTGATATTATAGAAATTGTTCATGCAACTTCTATTTTCTATTTAGTATGTTTTTAAGTCATCTAAGTATTTGTTTTGGGTGGTGCTAAGGATCAAACCTATCGATTTGTGCATGCCGGGCAAGTGCTCTTCTACTCCTAAGCTACATTCCCAGCATTTACTGTGCCTTTTAGTTATCTCTTTCTTCTTTTCTTATAGTTCAATATATCAAATTTTCAGGGGTTTTGCCTTTTTTAAATAGATAAAGTTATATTTAAAGCAATTCTGTGGCTATTTTGGCCCAGTAGTCAGACAGCACACTTTCACTTCCTCTATTTCATGTTTAACATGTCTCTAGATTTTTTTTGTTCCAGTTATTTTATTTTATCTAAATTATCACACACACACACACACACACACACACACACACACACACACACACACACACACACACACACAGAGAGAGAGAGAGAGAGAGAGAGAGAGAGAGAGAGAGAGAGAGTCCCTCACACAAATCTTCAGTGTCTGGCTTGGTGAATTCTCCCAAGGTGAATACATCCACACAAACACTCCCTAGGTCAAGATACAAAGCATTCTCAATCATCCAAAGGTTTTTCTGTATCTCCTTTTAGACTGCAATTCTGATTTCCATCACCGGCCATTCATTTGTCCTGTTTTCCAATTTTATGTGTGTATCTGACATCTGCTAGCCCTCTGAGCGTTCCCCACAGATGTGAGATGGTCCTACTTACCCCCCACCCATCGCCCCCGCCCCGTGGTATTCTCTGTTATGACTGTTTGGTGAGTTTTCTGGTCTCCTATTGGTGAACATGTGTGGGTACCAGGCTATGGGTGTTGTAATTGATGTTGCAGACTCTACCTTTTGAGTTCAGGCATCTTCGAGTTCTTTTTGGAGCCACACCCAGGAACAGACTTGCTAGCCTAGGAACGCATATATGTCTAGCGTTTGTGGCACAGTCAGCTTTTTAAGCCGTGCCCATACTATTGCTTAAAACGTCATACTTTATCGTTAACACGGGTTGGAGAGATGGCTCAGCATTTAAGAGTACTTGCCACTCTTTCAAAGGACCTGAGTTCAATTTCCAGCATCTACATCTGGTAGTTCCTAACTCCAGCTCCAGAGAATCTGACACCCTCTTCTGGTCTCCAAGGCCACTGCACTTACATGTACAGACACACATTCATCCACATAATTAACAATACATCTTGAAAAATATTAACACTCAAGTTTTTCCCCCAATACTAGGGTTTGAACCCAGGGCTTTCTCCATGCTGAATGCTGTCCCTCTGAGCTGACCCCCCAGCCTCTCCACACGTATTCTGGCAGCTTCTGCTGTTGTATCTGGTCACCAATGTTGCTTGCACTCCCTTCCATGCATCTTCACTTCTCTTCTTGCTTCAGAAGCCTTCTAGTGTCTATTTTAGGGAAGTATCTGTGAGTCCTGAAATGTTAGGTTCCTTTCATTCTTGGAA